ACAGTGTTTGAACAAGTGCTGTGCGGCTACCGCACGTTAGATAAGTCAACACTTATTCGACAAAGATCGATTTTGATGCATAACTTTTTGAGATGACTGTACATAACGCAATTGTAAATGTTTATTATGGTGGCACAAGGACGTTCGATCGTTATGGAAGCTTAGTTTGTTCTGGCAGCTATTCCAAAACGTCGTTGGTCGGGCAAGATTAACGCTAATGGTTTCCGCCTGGACCAACAACGAGTCCCGCTAAAATATAATCGCTAATTGCCGGCCGATATTACGTAATCGATTCGGCATCGCGGTTCGCCTAGCTCGGACCAGGGCCGTAATGCAGTCACTTTATTAGCCGCTAATTGCTGCCCGTACGCATTAAAACCGAGCGGTTATTCTCGCCAACCGAACCCCCCTTTATTAGTTTTTCGTTTATGTCGTTCGTCCAGCATATGGCGCTGTCGGTTGGTGAAATCCCTTCGACCTACCACCAATTTTTGTGTTCGGTTACATTTTTACTACTTGTAGCGTGAATTTCGTTTCCAATTAGAAGAGAAAATTACTGAATGTTTGGCTTTTAGGCTGTAAGCATAAAGTATAGGCTTTTTTTAGGTGTAAATTTTTGTTGTGAGTTATTTACGAGGAATAAAAGAGGAGTTTAAAAAGAATCTTAAAACTTCTCTTAAGAAGATAAGAAACAAGTGTCACTGTCAAAATTGTTCTTTACGAAAAATGAGTGTTCAAGTTTTCAAACATGAAAATCATCAATCAAGGTGTTTTTTGTGTTTCGCTACAATAACAACAACGGTCCTTATTAGGATGCAACCGCTTTACCCACGGTTCCTCGTTTCAGCATGGAAGTCACGATCGAATTTAAGTTTAGCAAGTTATTGTACATACCGCATCCAAACGATGTCCGCCTCTACGGAGGCGGCGCGGCTAACACAACAACGGCCAACAACAATGGAAGTTTTCGTAGTTTAGCTTTGGTCGGGGATGGCTAAGGGATGGAACCGGCTTCAGGGGCAGCTTCCACCGTAAATCGTGGCCGCTTACGGGGGCGAGCCGCTGCCGCCACCGACTCCCGGGGCACTTTAACGGGGATTACTTGGCGCTGACAATTATATACAACTTCTATTCGCACTCCACTCTTACCTCTACTCTTCTCTGCGCACTACCATGAAAGCTCTACTTTTGTCCCCATGGAATGCTTTTACTCTAAAGCTTTACTTATTTACGTTACTTTTACTGAGATAAATAAAACCTATTTAGTAGTTTTACGTTTCGATCTTTTGTAAACCTCGCACTTATTGAAATGACGATCATTTGCTGTAATGGGGTACTAAAAATTGTTTGCAGCCGGCGCCAACGGCAAGCGGCCCTAATTGCGTCATTCGACGGTCGCAAAGCAGCAGGAATCGAATTAAATTTGCGGCGCGTCTATTGCTCGACGATTTACCTTCAGTTAACGCAAATACCGGTAATTGGAATACGAACGATCGCAACAACGCGTACTGCAGTACTTGGTGCTGTTCTATGTACAACCATTTGTCTCTATTACCGAAACTACAAAGTTCCAACCCGTACGCTAATAACAAACTGCGAACTACGGTGCATCTACGGTGGCTCACCGAGTTGCGCAAAGTGTCACGGAGTTTTGTCTACATTCGCCGTGACGAATGGTTCTCGTTTATCCTAGTGTGATTTTCGTGCTTGAAAAATCGCTCTTATGGTTAGTGTCATTTGTATTTAGTTATCTTTGATTTATACTACATTATGATTCATTTAGTTATTCTCAAAGTTTCTTTATGAAAAAAGTATACTAAAACAATGCAGCTTTAAATTTCTTTTTTATGTATATTCGAAATTGAACAATACGTGCAAATACCGGAGGCTGACTTCGCGATATTTGCAGATAGACAAAATTTAAATTCAACGTCGCCTCAAAGTGGCACTTTCGCACTATGTGTCTTCCATTTTCCTATCTCGCGCATAACATTCCTCGTCTAACGGGCCGCAAACTTCGCCGCCGGTGGTTTTGCGGTCTCCGCATCGCATATTTCCCTCTTTCGCGCGACACTTTTCGCTCTGGATGTTCGGAAAATATGTGCATGTGCACACGGAGCGTCTGTATACGTTAGTACTTACGTGCACGTATTCGCGTAAAAATGCAAAATATCACACAAGCGAAGATAAATTGCCAATACGCGTTTTTCGTATATCCCTTGACGTATGTCACTGCATGATGAAACCAACCATCATCCTGTCTTTCCCGGTTAGTTACGATCAATAAAATATATTTTTAAATTAATTTGGGGTTTTATTAAGTTTTTCTTTTTTGGTTTTGTGTTTCAAGTTTAACTAACTCTGGAGGGTTTAATCTCATATACTGCTCAAAATAGGTACAGAACACGTGTGCGTAATTACTTTGATGCATCCTCTGTAGAAACAGTTAGGGTAACCCGGTTGCAGTAGAAGGCACCGAGGTGGTTGCTGCACCCAATTTCGGTTCCGATAACGAGCAACGCCGGGAACTGCGGCGGTTCAGGTAAAATTAACCGACACCATCTAGATAACGCCTTGTCAATAAAATAGAACGGTTTAAAATTAACTAGTTAGGTTCGTACCCATACATATCGCGCAATTTAACTTGGCAATTTTATTACTACAACTTTATTTTTTATTCATATTTCCTTTTTCCACTTAGTCCCATAGCAACACCAAAGTTCGCGATTTCGTCATAGTTTCTGTAGAGAAAGAGATGTCTCTTGTAGTGTTGTACCTACCTCGATGGATGCCGTCACGTCATCCTGCAACTTTAAAGTCGATAGACTCGGTTGCAACCGTTCTTGTCTACTCTCTTTAACGTTGGGGAACGCCAGGTGGGGGCCACTTTTCAGGTGGCGTCGCAACTCCAACAGAATGGAATTAGCCTGTTCGCGAGGTTCGGGTAGCGACGTCGCCCTGTATGAAATTTCATTAGCCTTTGCCCTACCCCCGTTACAAACACCTTGTCTTCCCTTGAATAAGGAAATTTCGTAATATTTTCCTTTACCCCCTGTAATTGCAGCAATAATATTGTTAGGGGATTGGTCCATTAGTTAAGCTCTTAAGCGGTGGCTAATTCGTTTGATATTAGAAAATTAGTTAATTAAACGTGAAAATGGAAAATGTAAAGCACGTTATTATTTTGTATTTTTGAGATGTTTCCAACATTTTCGTATTATGTAGTAAGAGCATCTTCTAAAAGCTTCCGTCCATCTCGATTCTTATTTATGCACTCACGGTAGTACCTGGCCCTCCCGGAATAGAAAGAACCGATCCGGCGCCGTCATCTATAATGCAAACTACGAGTTCAGCACGTGCCGAGCGGGACATAGCGACCGAAACGTAATATATATGCATGCGCAACGGCACACAATGGTCCCACACCTCCGCCAGAACAATTTTTTCGGTTCTCCCGTCGCGCTCGGAAACGGCTCGGGATTTTCAATTTCGATCCGCGCGCACTTCAAGTAAATAGGTCCGGACTACGACGTGTCCTGAAATATCGTCTACACCGCGACGAAAATAAGTTCTTTAAGGCGAGGTATTGAGCACTTGGCCTGGCCCCATTTAGGGGGCCTCTTCATCGCCTTAGATGATTGGATTCGGCGCTCTTCGCATAAGCAGATCTGGCTCAATTTCGCTTTCGATGAGCCTCAAGACCGTTTTATACCGAGAATGAATAAATAAGAATGACTATAACAGATTTATCTTTTAAATGAGCTAAAAATAAAAAAATGAATAAAGAATAAGAATGTATTTTAGGTGAAAGGATCTTTTCTTGCTTTTCATTATGATGTTGAGACCCATTTTTTGAAAATATTTATGTCACTACAGTTGTAGACGTGTTTTTCATGCTGTGGTGTTGTTGGTTCGTTTTCTTTTTCCTCGTAAACAACTGGCATCATCCTCCACAACGGCCGTTATAAATGACTTGCAGCCTCGGCTGGTTATTGTACGTGTTTTCTCTTGTTTCAGGTACGTTGCTTATCTCTATTCGTCAACGTCACATTTTACGAGAGTGTATTCGCTACCGTCGAGTACCCGAAATCATACGGTTACAGTAACGGCGTAATTTGTAAGTATTTTGTCATTGTTCGTTTCGAATTATTTTGCTGTAAGTGGGTAAATAGTTTTGAAATCGTTGAGAAATAAAAGAGTTTTTGTTGGAAAAGTAGTGAACGTTGAAGGGGCGTTGCCGGTTCAATTGCGCAGGAAATCAGGTCCATATAACTTTTCAATTACTCGCAAACCTGGGCATAGCCGAGCTGGTCGCGCAAACTGAAAACGCATTAGGCGAAATCCGAAATTTATGGACGCGGGGTACCGTGCGGTGCTGCGGGGTTGGAAGCTATAATTTACACTACCCCGTAAAATATCACAACCTGACCCACCCTACTACGTTGTATCCCTCTTGTAGGTAAACAACTTCATGTATCTATATGACCGTCGACTTGCATTACCTAATCCTGTATTCCACCAAATTAATTAAACTAAGTTACTACAAACTAATATACAGCTCTCAGATATCTCAGCTCCTAAAATGTAATTCAATGAATTTTTTAAACGACTTACCACTGTCTCTAGAACTAACATTAGACCTAGAACTAGAAACATTCGGGCTTAGCCGCACGTCTCTCAAGACTGCTAAACCCGGATTATTCTAGTTGTAGGTCTGGTGTTAGTTCTAGTGATAGTGCTAGTGTAAAACTTAGTTCTAGTTTTAGTTCAATAAAAATATGCAACATAATGATATCTTATGCTAACTACACTACTAACCACTGTCTCTAGAACTAACATTACACCTAAAAGTAGAAACATTCAGGTTTAGCCGTTTTAAGAGACGCACGGCTAACCGGAATGTTTTTCGTTCTAGGTCTAGTGCTAGTGTTAGTCTAGTTTTATTTGTTATTCAGCGCTAGATAGTTGTATAATTGTATAAGGTTTTAAAATAAATTACCCTGGGGTTGAATGTACGACGAAAAATAGTTTATTTAAACTGGCAAATCGGTGCTACAGCTGTTTCGGTTTTACAATTAAACCTTCCTCAGGCACGACTGAAAGAGTTTACAATATAGAAAAAATAATAACATGTTTACAGAAGTTAAATCTAATTACCGTCAATATAGAAGAGCAATCGTAAGGGGAAACAAATCGGAGGGACACCAAGCGATTTCAGGAGCTAAATCCATTATTTTGTTTTATTTTTATATAAAAAAAGTTAAAAAGCCAAATGGCTGTGTTACAATTTAGGGAAACTGCTTGAAGAGCGTGTTTGTTCCCTAAAACCTGTTTTATTTGAAGGTTAACTGCAAAAATGCGTAATTAGTTTAAATTATTAGAGAATTAGTGAAATTTACCTATTTTTCGTTGTAAAAGAATATGATTCAACAAAATATCGCAAGAAAACACAAAAATTAATGTTATTAACAAAAATAACAAAAATTAACAAAAAAAGAAATTAAAAGAGTACGATCTGACGTGAAGCGCTTAGACGACTAACGAATTTTAAGATAGGGGTTATGTTGGAAGGTCGCAAAAGACGTCGGCGCATGCGTGGTAAGGTGGTATTATTCTATGAAAGCTACATTATAAAAGCAGAGAAATATTATAAAAATTTAGCAATATCTGAAATTTATTCTAAAACTATCTATGTAAAGGGTAAAGCGATGGATCAGGTGCAAGCAACTACAAATATTTGAGGAAGAGCCTATGATTGTTGAAATCGGTAATATCGTTAAGTAAATTGTTATTTACGTTATTGATATGAATGTAATATTCTTCATACAAATCCAGTTCTTTAGATTTATTAGCTTGTTTAAGAATTTTCACGTTGTTGAAGGAGGTGTTATGATTTTCAGTTTTTAAATGTTTATATATGGCTGAGTTTTCCTTATTCATGTGCTCCCTGAACCTNAAAAAAAAAAAAAAAAAAAAAAAAAAAAAAAAAAAAAAAAAAAAAAAAAAAAAAAAAAAAAAAAAAAAAAAAAAAAAAAAAAAAAAAAAAAAAAAAAAAAAAAAAAAAAAAAAAAAAAAAAAAAAAAAAAAAAAAAAAAAAAAAAAAAAAAAAAAAAAAAAAAAAAAAAAAAAAAAAAAAAAAAAAAAAAAAAAAAAAAAAAAAAAAAAAAAAAAAAAAAAAAAAAAAAAAAAAAAAAAAAAAAAAAAAAAAAAAAAAAAAAAAAAAAAAAAAAAAAAAAAAAAAAAAAAAAAAAAAAAAAAAAAAAAAAAAAAAAAAAAAAAAAAAAAAAAAAAAAAAAAAAAAAAAAAAAAAAAAAAAAAAAAAAAAAAAAAAAAAAAAAAAAAAAAAAAAAAAAAAAAAAAAAAAAAAAAAAAAAAAAAAAAAAAAAAAAAAAAAAAAAAAAAAAAAAAAAAAAAAAAAAAAAAAAAAAAAAAAAAAAAAAAAAAAAAAAAAAAAAAAAAAAAAAAAAAAAAAAAAAAAAAAAAAAAAAAAAAAAAAAAAAAAAAAAAAAAAAAAAAAAAAAAAAAAAAAAAAAAAAAAAAAAAAAAAAAAAAAAAAAAAAAAAAAAAAAAAAAAAAAAAAAAAAAAAAAAAAAAAAAAAAAAAAAAAAAAAAAAAAAAAAAAAAAAAAAAAAAAAAAAAAAAAAAAAAAAAAAAAAAAAAAAAAAAAAAAAAAAAAAAAAAAAAAAAAAAAAAAAAAAAAAAAAAAAAAAAAAAAAAAAAAAAAAAAAAAAAAAAAAAAAAAAAAAAAAAAAAAAAAAAAAAAAAAAAAAAAAAAAAAAAAAAAAAAAAAAAAAAAAAAAAAAAAAAAAAAAAAAAAAAAAAAAAAAAAAAAAAAAAAAAAAAAAAAAAAAAAAAAAAAAAAAAAAAAAAAAAAAAAAAAAAAAAAAAAAAAAAAAAAAAAAAAAAAAAAAAAAAAAAAAAAAAAAAAAAAAAAAAAAAAAAAAAAAAAAAAAAAAAAAAAAAAAAAAAAAAAAAAAAAAAAAAAAAAAAAAAAAAAAAAAAAAAAAAAAAAAAAAAAAAAAAAAAAAAAAAAAAAAAAAAAAAAAAAAAAAAAAAAAAAAAAAAAAAAAAAAAAAAAAAAAAAAAAAAAAAAAAAAAAAAAAAAAAAAAAAAAAAAAAAAAAAAAAAAAAAAAAAAAAAAAAAAAAAAAAAAAAAAAAAAAAAAAAAAAAAAAAAAAAAAAAAAAAAAAAAAAAAAAAAAAAAAAAAAAAAAAAAAAAAAAAAAAAAAAAAAAAAAAAAAAAAAAAAAAAAAAAAAAAAAAAAAAAAAAAAAAAAAAAAAAAAAAAAAAAAAAAAAAAAAAAAAAAAAAAAAAAAAAAAAAAAAAAAAAAAAAAAAAAAAAAAAAAAAAAAAAAAAAAAAAAAAAAAAAAAAAAAAAAAAAAAAAAAAAAAAAAAAAAAAAAAAAAAAAAAAAAAAAAAAAAAAAAAAAAAAAAAAAAAAAAAAAAAAAAAAAAAAAAAAAAAAAAAAAAAAAAAAAAAAAAAAAAAAAAAAAAAAAAAAAAAAAAAAAAAAAAAAAAAAAAAAAAAAAAAAAAAAAAAAAAAAAAAAAAAAAAAAAAAAAAAAAAAAAAAAAAAAAAAAAAAAAAAAAAAAAAAAAAAAAAAAAAAAAAAAAAAAAAAAAAAAAAAAAAAAAAAAAAAAAAAAAAAAAAAAAAAAAAAAAAAAAAAAAAAAAAAAAAAAAAAAAAAAAAAAAAAAAAAAAAAAAAAAAAAAAAAAAAAAAAAAAAAAAAAAAAAAAAAAAAAAAAAAAAAAAAAAAAAAAAAAAAAAAAAAAAAAAAAAAAAAAAAAAAAAAAAAAAAAAAAAAAAAAAAAAAAAAAAAAAAAAAAAAAAAAAAAAAAAAAAAAAAAAAAAAAAAAAAAAAAAAAAAAAAAAAAAAAAAAAAAAAAAAAAAAAAAAAAAAAAAAAAAAAAAAAAAAAAAAAAAAAAAAAAAAAAAAAAAAAAAAAAAAAAAAAAAAAAAAAAAAAAAAAAAAAAAAAAAAAAAAAAAAAAAAAAAAAAAAAAAAAAAAAAAAAAAAAAAAAAAAAAAAAAAAAAAAAAAAAAAAAAAAAAAAAAAAAAAAAAAAAAAAAAAAAAAAAAAAAAAAAAAAAAAAAAAAAAAAAAAAAAAAAAAAAAAAAAAAAAAAAAAAAAAAAAAAAAAAAAAAAAAAAAAAAAAAAAAAAAAAAAAAAAAAAAAAAAAAAAAAAAAAAAAAAAAAAAAAAAAAAAAAAAAAAAAAAAAAAAAAAAAAAAAAAAAAAAAAAAAAAAAAAAAAAAAAAAAAAAAAAAAAAAAAAAAAAAAAAAAAAAAAAAAAAAAAAAAAAAAAAAAAAAAAAAAAAAAAAAAAAAAAAAAAAAAAAAAAAAAAAAAAAAAAAAAAAAAAAAAAAAAAAAAAAAAAAAAAAAAAAAAAAAAAAAAAAAAAAAAAAAAAAAAAAAAAAAAAAAAAAAAAAAAAAAAAAAAAAAAAAAAAAAAAAAAAAAAAAAAAAAAAAAAAAAAAAAAAAAAAAAAAAAAAAAAAAAAAAAAAAAAAAAAAAAAAAAAAAAAAAAAAAAAAAAAAAAAAAAAAAAAAAAAAAAAAAAAAAAAAAAAAAAAAAAAAAAAAAAAAAAAAAAAAAAAAAAAAAAAAAAAAAAAAAAAAAAAAAAAAAAAAAAAAAAAAAAAAAAAAAAAAAAAAAAAAAAAAAAAAAAAAAAAAAAAAAAAAAAAAAAAAAAAAAAAAAAAAAAAAAAAAAAAAAAAAAAAAAAAAAAAAAAAAAAAAAAAAAAAAAAAAAAAAAAAAAAAAAAAAAAAAAAAAAAAAAAAAAAAAAAAAAAAAAAAAAAAAAAAAAAAAAAAAAAAAAAAAAAAAAAAAAAAAAAAAAAAAAAAAAAAAAAAAAAAAAAAAAAAAAAAAAAAAAAAAAAAAAAAAAAAAAAAAAAAAAAAAAAAAAAAAAAAAAAAAAAAAAAAAAAAAAAAAAAAAAAAAAAAAAAAAAAAAAAAAAAAAAAAAAAAAAAAAAAAAAAAAAAAAAAAAAAAAAAAAAAAAAAAAAAAAAAAAAAAAAAAAAAAAAAAAAAAAAAAAAAAAAAAAAAAAAAAAAAAAAAAAAAAAAAAAAAAAAAAAAAAAAAAAAAAAAAAAAAAAAAAAAAAAAAAAAAAAAAAAAAAAAAAAAAAAAAAAAAAAAAAAAAAAAAAAAAAAAAAAAAAAAAAAAAAAAAAAAAAAAAAAAAAAAAAAAAAAAAAAAAAAAAAAAAAAAAAAAAAAAAAAAAAAAAAAAAAAAAAAAAAAAAAAAAAAAAAAAAAAAAAAAAAAAAAAAAAAAAAAAAAAAAAAAAAAAAAAAAAAAAAAAAAAAAAAAAAAAAAAAAAAAAAAAAAAAAAAAAAAAAAAAAAAAAAAAAAAAAAAAAAAAAAAAAAAAAAAAAAAAAAAAAAAAAAAAAAAAAAAAAAAAAAAAAAAAAAAAAAAAAAAAAAAAAAAAAAAAAAAAAAAAAAAAAAAAAAAAAAAAAAAAAAAAAAAAAAAAAAAAAAAAAAAAAAAAAAAAAAAAAAAAAAAAAAAAAAAAAAAAAAAAAAAAAAAAAAAAAAAAAAAAAAAAAAAAAAAAAAAAAAAAAAAAAAAAAAAAAAAAAAAAAAAAAAAAAAAAAAAAAAAAAAAAAAAAAAAAAAAAAAAAAAAAAAAAAAAAAAAAAAAAAAAAAAAAAAAAAAAAAAAAAAAAAAAAAAAAAAAAAAAAAAAAAAAAAAAAAAAAAAAAAAAAAAAAAAAAAAAAAAAAAAAAAAAAAAAAAAAAAAAAAAAAAAAAAAAAAAAAAAAAAAAAAAAAAAAAAAAAAAAAAAAAAAAAAAAAAAAAAAAAAAAAAAAAAAAAAAAAAAAAAAAAAAAAAAAAAAAAAAAAAAAAAAAAAAAAAAAAAAAAAAAAAAAAAAAAAAAAAAAAAAAAAAAAAAAAAAAAAAAAAAAAAAAAAAAAAAAAAAAAAAAAAAAAAAAAAAAAAAAAAAAAAAAAAAAAAAAAAAAAAAAAAAAAAAAAAAAAAAAAAAAAAAAAAAAAAAAAAAAAAAAAAAAAAAAAAAAAAAAAAAAAAAAAAAAAAAAAAAAAAAAAAAAAAAAAAAAAAAAAAAAAAAAAAAAAAAAAAAAAAAAAAAAAAAAAAAAAAAAAAAAAAAAAAAAAAAAAAAAAAAAAAAAAAAAAAAAAAAAAAAAAAAAAAAAAAAAAAAAAAAAAAAAAAAAAAAAAAAAAAAAAAAAAAAAAAAAAAAAAAAAAAAAAAAAAAAAAAAAAAAAAAAAAAAAAAAAAAAAAAAAAAAAAAAAAAAAAAAAAAAAAAAAAAAAAAAAAAAAAAAAAAAAAAAAAAAAAAAAAAAAAAAAAAAAAAAAAAAAAAAAAAAAAAAAAAAAAAAAAAAAAAAAAAAAAAAAAAAAAAAAAAAAAAAAAAAAAAAAAAAAAAAAAAAAAAAAAAAAAAAAAAAAAAAAAAAAAAAAAAAAAAAAAAAAAAAAAAAAAAAAAAAAAAAAAAAAAAAAAAAAAAAAAAAAAAAAAAAAAAAAAAAAAAAAAAAAAAAAAAA